CCTTGACATCAGAAGCGCTGGGCAATAGGTGCGAAACCTGGCCGGAGTGGCGCCACGCGCGAGTTTCAAAAGGTACAGCTTTAGGCAATGCGCCCTGTCATGCACCCTCATGAAACCCATCCGGCATCACGGGCATCTTGGACTTCAAAAAGTCGAATTCAAGCATCGCTAGCCTGCACTCGTTTGAGAAACGGCTCGCGAAGATTGGAGCTGACATCAGCCGCTGTCGGGTCGAAACCCGAAAACCTCAAAGGCAGCGGGAAGCACTATGAGATGAGATCAAGAAATTGAGGCTGAGGGAGGGACACTTTGTAGGCATCGAAGCGGCTCCAATCCGGCTCAACTGCATGGACCTCCCCATCTTGGCTACAGGGTGTACGGGCATACGGGGTCCCGAGAAGGTTTTTTCAGCAGCTGCTCTGTCAACTGCCAGCCTGGTCCATGGTGAGGCCGAAATCTGTCGTCTTCTGTGCCACCAACGCGCCGTTGGGGCAGTTCTGCTCTATCGGCTCTATCGCCCTGGGAGATCTTAGGAATAAGCGGATGCATGCTTAAGCACGCTAAACACATCGTTGCATGAGGGAAGAGTGAACACAGAAGTTCGCCCAAGCCGACCTCGAATGAGCACGGGCCAACTGGACAACGCCAATGAGTGCAGGAATTTGCGGTACAGCAAAAGCACACCGGCTGGCCGCAAAACCGCCAGTACTTGAGGGATAGCCTTTCGGGCTTGCTCCCGGATCCGCCGGTAACTAATTGGGGGGAAAGCAGGCTTCGAGCGCCAGGCTTTCCAAAGTCGTGCTTTCCAGTACACGCCGAAGCTCTCCGGAAGACTACTTGAGGCCAGGGGCCTTCAAAATGGTGTTATGGAATACAAAGTATGCCGAAGCAAACTGAAGTATCCATCACTTTTTGCTACATTCATAGTATACTGAAACATATCTGATATAAAAGGTGTAGCGTGGCACATCCAAATAATGTCCACTCATACTTCTAGCGCGAAGTCAAAAGAACTCAAATCTAAATAAATCCTACAATGCCTACTGTACTGAGTGCCCCCTTCTTCTCAACAACAACTATACCGATGTTCGAAGCCCAGCTTCGCATCCAGATCCTTCGTCGCAAAGCGCCGTGAGGAGCCATCGCCCTGTGCCGAGTGAATACCGCCGGCTCGGCGGGCTCAAAGGTCAGGGCTTCATTTTTTAGGTCGATAGTCGAGTTGCGTTTGGTGAGTGGCAATGAAGGCACTGCCAACCGCTAAGCTGAAGCTCACTGCACTTCAGCATGCCGCATGCAAGGGGCTCTGCTGATCGAACAAGTGAGAGGGCGCTCTGAAGAAGCCATTCAACACAGTTTGCATTCCGCCAGAGTGTTACAAGACCTATCTTTAAAGATAGCTTCACGAGCCACCAACAAGGCCCAAAAAAAAAGAGCCAGGCGCTCGTGTACAGAAGTGGCCATCACACAGGTTTTCCCCGCCTCGATGCTGTGGAGGGAGCCGCCAAGGGGCAGATCTGATGTTGAGGGTCGCATCCTTTCTTGCTGAGCGCTGGGAAAGGCCAAGGCATGGTTCAGTATCTCAGCTTAACCTGAACCTACACACTACTAGGAGCTGACACAAGACTTCTAGCATTCAATAGCCTCAGCAGCTTGTGCCGTTTCGCCTAGAAGATTGCAGTTCCAAACCCTGGGACTCCCCATCTCCAATGCCGAAGCCGACCCGACTGTGAAACTTTATAGCTCAGCTCCTGCGATCCCGTCGAAAAACTGCCGGGCCCAAGGTGTACTTCAGTAGGCCGTCCTCGGAGCGTGTTCAGGCTTCTAGGGCGCTGGTTCGGCTTCATTTTGTCATCTGAGTACGTATATACATAGAAGCAGCATGCCAGATCATGCCAGTACAGAAGCACAACAGTGGTCAAATCCATTCAAAATCAAGCCTCAAGCCTATTTGCAATCCTCTGCCTTCTGTTCTCAGCTACTCAGCTGAGATTGAACACCAGCCGAAAGGACCAGTTTTAATATGAAACTCCGGGCGTTTTTGTTTTGCGCGGTATGGACGCCCGTCACCGAGGAAACACACTGCAACGCTAGTGATGTCTGATGGAACAGCGTCGTTCGTACTCCTGCTTGTCACCTTGCAATTGCGACTATCGGAGACGGCTTGACCAGGACACTGACTTAATTGATTGCCAGTGGCTGCTGCCCGGACAAGCTCCAACAATAATTGACTTGTCCCAATGCTACTTGTAGCACACCGAACGTGCAACAGCGCCTGTACCAGACCATTGGAAGTGTAAAGCTCTGGTCTGGTGCAAGCCTCCGTCTCCTTTCAGCCGAGAGGCCGTGAGCTGAATGATGGACAGGAAAACCTGATGCTATCAAGTCACTTGCGACAGCAAGCCGACCCATCAGAGTGGCGCCATGGGCAACTTTGTTTCAGAGGGCATGACAAACATCTTTGTACCAACACGAAGATTAGCTTCCTAAATATACAGGAAAGGCCAAACGACTTCAAACTCCACGCACCCAAGAGCAAGAAAATTACTCCTGCCGGGCAGCCATCGGCGAGAAGCCTGCGGGCGATTTGGGAATCGCACTGCCCAGAGCACCTTGGGCTGTGGAGGCAGAGCGCACGCTTGCAGAGCAGTGGCGGCACAACGAGGGGCCAGAGTGGTGCAAATGATCGACGTGCGGCAGCAAAGCAAGCTTGCATCAACTGCTTTCACATGCAAAGCTTCCAAAGTGCACTGACTGAATAGGGGCGTTCCCATATCCGATCTTGAATCGGGGTTCTCATGTTCTGCTCGTGTCTGCCAACAAGTAAAGTACGCCAGCCCACTGATCACTGAGACAGGGAAGCCGTTCACGTTGGGAAAAGCCGCGCAAGCCTCGGAGTTGGCTGGGCAAACACTCATGGCTGCAAGCATTGCCGGTGTCAAAGGTGACAGTAACATCTGCGATTTCACAGCAAACCCTAACATGCGATAATAAAGGCCCAGCAGCTGCTGCAGCCCCCAAGTGTTGCGTAGGGATACCGATGGCCAGGCAGCAAAGCATCCCGAGCAAAGCGCTAACCTAGCCGAACACTGCGGGGCTGGGAACAGGTGGACAAGAGGTTGCAGTTCCAAAATTGCTGAGCACCTGCGGTTCCATTACTGTAGACAGGCCGATGTCTCCGAGACTTGGACCGAAAGCTTTAAGAAGCTCTTCGTATTGAGGTGGCCTCAACCTCAACTCTACCAAAAAGATTGTGGCAGGTCACCGAGGCGTAAGCAAAAGGCCACAGTAGGAGCTGCCAGCCTTCCACGAGCAAGGAGAAGTTGGCCTCGGCGGCACGCGTCAACACTTCGAGTGCCTACTCCTTGCTTCCCCGTCTATCCGCCCCACGCCACAGTAAAATTCGAATTATGAGCTGCTTCTGAACGAGGCTGTATGCATGTACTCATGTATGCATGTATGTGTGCAAGTAGGTAGGTATGGATGTACACGTGTGTATGTATGTACGTGCATGCATGCATGCATTCATGCACGGTCGGACGGACGGAGGGATGGATGGATGGATGGATAGATGAATGGATGGATGGATGTAATGCTGTATGTAACGTATCGTCCTCTCTTTGCTTTGCTCTGGGGTATGAGCCACAGGCAGTCCCTGTGGCCCGCTAGTTCGAGCAACCCCATCCCTGATTTTCAGAGGATGGTATCGTGCTAGCTTGCTTGCGAAGGGGTTTGGGCACATGCAATGGTATCGTCCTCTCTGAGGGCGAGCCCCCGCGGGAGCTGCCCATCTTGTTGCAGGTGTGCTCGGTTATATGTGCGAAAAGTATTTCGAGCTCTCCGCCCTCTCTCTCTTTCGCCAGGGCTATGGGCAAGAGGTTTGACCCCCTTGCCCTCTCTCTCTCTCTCTCTCTCTCTCTCTCTGTCGTTGTACCTCGCTCAAGGTGAATGGCAAACAAATAGACGAAACATGCTCAAAATGCTCGATGAGCGTGCCTCGGGCAAGACGTCGGTGAACAAAAGGCAAGGTAGGCAAACATCCATGGCCAGTGCTGACAAGCACTTTCCTGGGCGGCACACTGGGCGATTTCGAACCTGTGCTGAGCCCAAGACTTTAACATCCGAAAGTTGGACAGTGGATGTCACGGACTACGGGCCAAGCCGTTACTAAGCCACAAACCTTAACAAAAGCTAGGCCCAGTCTCGCTTCTCTCCATTGAGTAGCTTCTTCCGCTCCAGGTGCATACCTACCTCAGGCAGAAGAAAGCCAGGCCGACTTTCGCGACTCTGCACAACTCCTGCCCTCGGATCAAGCTGGGGTTTACCTGCCGGCCTGCCGTTGCTCGGGCTGAGTGCGACTCTGCTTTGGCCAGCCCCACTGTTGCTGCCTAGCTGCTGCTATCAACGAGCATATCTTGAGGATAGCCGTCCTGGGTGGGCTCGGTCATGGGACTGCGCCCAGCACCAAGACAAAATGCTTGCCCAAAGCTGAGCCGCTAGGCTGGCAGTGCATCATAAGCTTCAACTTGTGGCCGAGCAATGCTCCAACTGACTTGACGGTGAATGAGCAGAGCTGAGCCGAGTAGGTCAAGGAACAGGACCGCGCCGGCAATGTGCCAGACATTCTCTGATATCTCCTGGGCTGCCGCGTTCAATGCTGGCTTTGAGACACGCGGCTACTCTCACCACAACACCCCAGTGGCGGCATGCCAGGACTGCCATCCCTGCACCAGTTGTGAGAGTAGCACCGCGCAGATTCATTGCGGCAAAGCTTATGTCTCGAACATTCGGCTCCGTTTGCACTGGCTCGAACACAGCAAAAAAGCCGAATCCCTGCCGAGCGACCATCGTCACAGCAGGAGGGCAGCGGGCCAAGATCTTGCTTGGCTTGGGCCAAGCAGCTAGATCCGGAGCGTGACTTTAATCGGCCGTACCTTTTGCCCTGAACAGACGCCGGGATGTTGCGCCCGATGGACTGGAGCCCTCGAAGCTCAGGGAGTGGCGGCACCAGACCTCGGTTGCCTGCGGCTTTGAGCACGACGTCCATGGCCTTGCAGGCTTGGAGCTCGAAGTTCCGCCGCTTTGTCAAGAAACTGCAGAGTTCAAGAGAAGGTAGGAGGTGCCACAGTTGCCCTCTGAGGCTGTCCGAGCAGGGGAATTCTTCAGCAGGGGAATTCTTCAATATGCCGCACAAACTTGTTCAGCAGATCTGCTGGCAGCTGAAACAACAAGCAAATGAAATAGCAGCATGCTGGCATGTCGGTGCGCACCTTGTCAGCTGCGCCTTGCCATCGGCGATCGCCGGTGACTTGGGTGATAAACCGAAACTCGACCTGCAGAGTCCGAACTCTGTCTCTTTGCTTCGGATGCAAAGTTGATCCTGTTCGCCTGTTAGAGATACATTGATACATCATCTGCAGCTGGGGCGGAGCTCAGGTTGGAGTGCGCAAATTTATGTCGTTTCCTCGCTTCCTAGCCTACTACCAGAAGCAGCCGGCCCAGCAGCTCATTTAGACCCCTGGCTACGGAATGCTAAGGTCGCGGTCAGAATGCTTCTTGAAAAGTGCTCTGCTACTCCGAGGTTTGGAAGGTGCTCCAGGAAGGTCACTCAATGTGCGCCTCCTGCAGTAAGGGCAGGACGGATCTGGACATGATTGCATGGGCTCTCTGACTCCTTCTACACGATATTCCACAGCCCATATTCATCTAATCCTGCTTGTTGGCTGAAGACCACGAATGTGCTAAACAACCCTTCAGGCCTGCAGTGTCGTAATTTCGGCGAGCACCTGATGGTCTTGAGAATCGCAAGACTTCAAGTCTAGTGACATTGTGCCTGTTTGGGCCACGACATTGCCAATTTCTCGCTTAGAAACAGAAGATGAAGCCCCCTCCATCACAAGCAACCGAACAGAACATTGCGACCGCACTGCACTGGGGCAGCCGCGGCGTTCTGGTTCCAAGAATGTGACCCGGCTTCACCCGTTCCAATGTCAATCTTGGCAGCAAGGCGCTAGGAGTGCAAGCAAGCAGGGGCTCAGGTCTTCGACCCAGCTTCCATCCGAAGCTTGCCCAAGCCACACGGATTTCCCCCTGCCCTAGCCGATGCAAGTGGTGCCACAACAAATCGCTCGGGGTCTCCAGCCGTCGACAACGGCATACCGCTGGGCCTGCGGAGAGCACAAGCGAGTGACTCATGTGACTTTGTGAATGCATCGGGACTCGCTGAGTTGCAGGGGTAATTAAGACCAGCGGTCAACGCATCAGGCTCGATGCGATGGCTGGCTTCGGTTCCCCCCCAACAACCTGCCGTGTGAACCGGAACCTCTCGAAGTTAAAACAGAAGCTGGAAATCTGATCCATGTTCACGAAAAAGATGAACTGCAGTATCCAATGCATCAAAGCCCTGAAGACAAGCTCACATCATGATACCGAGTCTCCAGCGTGTCAAAGGCTTTCAGCAGCTTCTCCCCCAATCTCTTCGCCTGTAGTGTGTGAGATAACAGTTTACATGAATGCTTTGCTTCGGGTGGGCGGGATTGCGACACGAAAGGCTTCCCGAGGCGGCCATTAAACTGCCTGAGTCACCAACTATGATAATACTCACAGGGGCCAAAGACCACGTTGGACACAAGCTATTTCAACAGTCGTAGTCGAGTCAGCTGAACAGGTCATGGAAAACTTAGGCAACTTGCGAAACACGTCGAAAAACTACACATGTCCTAGTCACCCTAGTACTCGGAGGCCAACTCTTCGAACCGCCAAGTCCTGACTACTACCACCATGGACATAGATTGCCAGGAGTGTGGTGGTGTTTTGAATAATCCACAGAATCCAGCTGGTTGCGCGGGAAGTGGTCCATCGGCTTTGAACAGACACCTACTTGAACATTCCAGATTCTCACCTTTACTACCGCCGTCGGCGCCGGGCCGTGTCGAGAAAGACCTGCTTGCCGCTGAGCGAATAGGCCGACAGCAAGCCTCGAGCCAGGCACAGGCTCGGGAGGCTAGCAGTTCTCAGTACTATAAAAGTTACAAGTAGCTGACTACCCATGACAAGCCGACCACTTGGGCAAGCAGCCTCTGAGATAATGCCGGCAGATGTGCAGAAGTCATTTCCGTTTTTAGTAAGTTAGCTTCCAAGATGCTCGTAGGATTGGATAGCTAAGTACAAGGATGATGAGAACAACTCATTACTAACTAGTTGGTGGCGATGAAGAAAGTAAGGAAAACAGTTGAAGAAGTGGTCAAGAAAGGAGAGATCTGAACTATTGCAATACGGCTATTTGCATGCATGGTCACTCGATGGTAGTTTAAAACCAATAGCAGGTTTCCAGAAACATCTCCGACACATGTCGTGTATTTCTGTCCATGGTGCCTCACGAATGCCATGTTTGCATTCACCACGATTCCTACGCCCTGTCACAAAGGCCGGGGCCTGCAAAGGCCCGAATGTTGATCTCGAAGAGGCTGTGCTGCCCATGCCTGCTTTCAGAGGTCTTGACCGATGGTCATTCATGGACGCTAGTTTCTCATGCCCGAGAATCGTACGTTAGTCCCCAATGCGGAGACGGGCTATGCATCAAGACCGGCAATGACAATGTCCCAGAGTTGGCTCTCGCTCCCTCAACTGGCTGACCATAGGGACGGGACTTGTCTGCAGTGGGAAGGTTGGCCCGCTCCAAGTATTCAACTGCATCCTCAGTGGAGGGCTGCAAATGCACCAGCCAATCCCAATCGGAAACCTGCCCATTTCGCCTATGCTAGGGTATATATTGCTGATGGCTGCTCTGACATGTCAGCAACCCGAAGAATTAGACGCAGGAAGCTTTCTTTGGCATTCTGCCAACTTCATCCCTAAGCCGGTGAAGGCGAGATCTTAGCGATCGTCGCCTTCTGCTTTGCAGGCTGTTGCCACTGTAGACATTCCGTCGTGTACATCATACGAAAAAGTTCCACTCTGAATGAGATGCCGAGTCAATGCCGAGCTGCATTGAATTCTTCCTCTAGGCCCATGACCCACAGCGTGGACCTCGATTGGTTTTGGTTTCCACGACTTCGGCAAAACTGTTTCTCGGGTTGTAGGCAGAAGCTTGACACCGGTCGGGCTCCGGAAATGCTTCGCTTATGCAATAGTAGGCTATATATGTATGTTCGTTCGTCTGTCCGTCTTGTCTATCCGTTTGCTTACTTGTTTGTTAGCTAGCTTGCTAGCTTCATATCATGTTTGTAGATTGTACATGCTTATACATCATAGGAATGTACATATGTTTGCATATGCGCGCGCGCAGAAGCTCTATCTGATGTAGTGGGTTTAATCAAACGTGGACGCGTAGGTGGATAGGAGTGCGAGCACGGGGGCTTGGGCGGTAGACTGGCTTGCAATTCCACGAAAAATCTCCACACATGTGCACCGTCGAGAGACATGACTAACAGCGTCTTCCAAGAGCTGCACAAGCCGTCCAGCATGGTGATGGCCTCGCAGCACTTCTCTGCAAAAGTCTACATCGTGCTTCGAATCTATGTCACACAGATGGTGCGCTACAAACATTGGTTGCATTGCAGTATACAATACAAGCGCCAAAGATCCAGCGCAACTCTCCAGGTCCTGACTCAGAGGCTGGTGTTCAGTGCATGAGTTTGCAGACTCGCTGGACCCCTGGGTGCCCTGCCATCTTGCACCAATCCTGACAGCACTTGCCCAGGTCAGCGCTGGCTTCTGGAAGATGGGCAAAGCGTGCAGCATGAGTGTCAATACGAATGATGCCACTCCAAGTATGCTCGTGCCGCGATTCCCAAGAACACCGCCCATCATGCCAGCCCAGATCTGAAACCCATGCGGGCACTTGGAGCCTTGATCCGACCAGAGGCCGGCATCACCTCGTCGTGGCCCCACGCCTTGTCCCTGCGAGCACAGAGCGCACGGTGAACATGCTATCGATAAGCTGACAAATGAGGCGCCCATACGAAGTCATCCAGCTGGATGCAATCTCATCCACCGTAAGACCTGAAGTTCCAAGCCCAGCCCGGTGTCCTGTAGCCTTTCCAGGTAAACTGCATCGCAGCTCTGACCTCCGAGGCCTTCCGGACGTGATACCACCACAATCACTTCTAAAAATGCGACAACGGCTCGTCCCAAACTGTTGAAATCGCCAACATGCCAAAAATGTCTCCATTCGCTCTAAACCATGCCAGCCGAAATCCTGTCTACGAGCACAACTACCCGAAAAGGGTCCTACCGGACTTGGGCATGCCGATGCTGCCGCTGGCTCTAAACCCTTATGGACCCCTTAAAGTAAAACCCCCGAAAAACTCTTGTATTGTAGCGATCCTTACAGTAACCCTTATGATGGTATCTTATAGTATCTGATGGTAAACCCGGAACCCTTGTAGCAACCCTCGTAGCAATCCTTACAGGAAGACCCTCCGGGCGCCGCGCCCAAGCATCTGCCTCGGCCTGGGAGTTCGCCAGGTCGGTCTCGGAGAAGCGCAGCAGCCACTCCTGGAGAGGTGCTCTTGTTTTAGGGCTCCTTCATACTATCACCCTACTATTAAATCCTACAACCAACAATAACCACATTGTGATTATGATACAACTTTTTGGGTTGCCTTCATACATTTACAGTCAATATGGTAGTAGAGCCCAAATCCTTACTCTACGGGTTGAGGCCTATGGATTAAGGGAACGGCGGGCTCCTGAAAGTAGGGGTACCTGATTTACAGGACTTCGTAGTGAGGCAGTTCTCGAAGAAAGGCTCCTTGATGGGAACCACTGAACCACGGTTCTTGCGTGGACCTTGTCTTCAAGAGAAGCATACCAAGATCCCCCAGATGTCTTCATGAGGAGCTACCAGTCGGTCGGAAGATCTGATCTGGGACTTGGAAGGGACTGCACTTGAACAGGCTACCCTGTAGCCTGAACCATCCCTAACCCTACCAGTGTGAACTCCTTGCCATGCTGTGTTCGGATTACAAGGCCATTTCCCAATGAACAGATGCTCTCCTTCGGCCATGTCTTCCGCAAAGCCTCCGGGTCCTGCCGGCATGATGTCAGCGCTCATGCTCCAAGTGCCGAAGCTCCCAAGTCTGTGGCCATGGCAGCCAGTATCAGTACCCCTTGCAATGCTGTTCTTCTTTTGTGAGTCACAAGGGTTTCGGTCCAGAGTTGTGCCGGGCAGCGTCACGATGCTGTCTGCCTGAAGGAAGGATGCGCGGTGGAGGTGGCAAGGTTCGGCTGCCGTCTCTGAGAGCTGCACCGGGGGCTTCTGCAGGAGTGGGTGGAGGACCCTCGGCACGTGGGAGCTTCACCGCCCAGATACGCTTCAAGACACAGCTGTAGGCTCCCGACTTGTCCGCAAAGGCAACGATGGGCACGGGGGTTGGCTGACCTTCTCCTGGCACAAGAATTGCAATGCGGGTTTCATGCAGACCCTGGTGACCTAGTAACCTAGTGGCACTTCAGGCAAGTCTTTCGATGGACTGCCCCTGCCATCGGAGTCAAAGCGACGACGCAAACGACGAAAAACGCAGATCGAGCTGTTGGTTGGAATGCAATCTTTGGAAACGACAGGCAGTGGCCCCGCAATCGAAGCACTTGTGAGGCGAGGCATCACGAGTAGAAGCGACATGACTCTTTCTAAAGGGACGGAATGCACTATATGCCAGGTAGCTCCCTTGCCGGGGATCTTAGAGAACCTGAGGTAGGATTGCGCTCAGCTTTCGGGCTGAGCTGATGTAACCGAGCGCACTTCGATTCTCGCATCAGCCTTTCTGGAAGGACCTGAAGTGCTTCGGCCAGTCTAACCAGGCCGATTGTACCCATCGTGCCGCGAGTAGTCAGATGTGGCTGCAGCCGTGTTCCCGTAATGGAGTTGATGGACCTGGATTGCAGCAGCTGGTGCCGACTCACCTTTCGAAATTCAGCATTTCAGCCACATGTCAGCGTCTGAGGCTGTGGCTCACTGCCCTGCTGGAACTGCACCATGACCGACACGGCCTCTTGTCTGTTTCCCTCTTCAGCTTTTCGATTCGGCATTCCCGTCACGACTGACCAAGCAGTCGCTTCGAAATGTTCTGAGTGCCGGGCAGCTTGAGAGCCACATGTTGTTGCACTTCCGCTGAGTACATCCTGCAGAGGATTCACGATAATACAGACTACATTCACGGCTGTACATCGGAAATTTGCTCCAGAATGAAACCCCCTCCCCTTGTCCCATCCTGTCCCTGCAGCAACGTCCTGAGAGCTGCACGACAACAAGTTCACCTCGGACTGCCCGACTACCAAGCTACTGTACCATCGGACCTGAAATCACCGATGGACCAAGACAACCTGCTTGCATGCGCCTCTACATACATGCCTGTTTGCTTGCATCCCCATATGCATGCATCTATGTACGCATATTTTACAGGCACGGGCTAAGGTTTTGCTATAGAAATTGGTGTTTACCTGCGATGTCTTTACAGATTCGTGTGCATGTCTGTGTGATGTTGGCGATGTGCCACGCTGGGTCAGTGGTCGTTGCGTGATTTCACATCCTCGGTTCTGTGTTATGCTACTGTACGCCAGAGTCATACGTACACCATAATTTATGCAGGAGCCAGCGCTCGTTGGGCACTCTGACTACTCTAAGACTTATATATATATATATATATAGATATAGATATAGATATAGATATAGATATAGATAGCTTTGCCAAAGGGGCTCAGCAGACTTCCCCGAGCCGCCGGCCAGCGTGCTGCCATCAGGGGAAGCACGGAAGATACGCCTCACTTCCCAGGTGCAGAAACAAGGCACCACAGACCCACAAAGACTTCGTAGACTGCACCTCTTGCAGTCGCTTGATGCAGCAGGGGCGAGTCTGCAAACGGATGTCTAAGTCTGACGCACGTCGCCCATGAAACCGATGAAACCGTGTGCTTGAGCCTTGGCGGGAGGTGCATACCGCAGATTCCACTGTCTAGGGTCTCGCCTGCACGCTGAAAATACATGCCGATTCGAGCCAAGCGGCTATCTCTTCAGGTCGCGCGAGAACGTGTGCCTGCAGCAATAGGCGACATTTTTGATTCCGCGACTCGAAGATTCCTACCCCTACCAACAAGGAGTCAAAGCGGACATGTCGCTACTCCGACATACTCCGATTCGACTCCGATGCATCCTCGTCCTGCTGAAAGATCGGACACTGATGTACCAGGACAAACCATTTGCTACAGAGGTCCGGATGATTCTTGAGATTTCAAGGGTTGCCAGGCTAGGCTGCCATGCGGGTCAACACCGAAGAGGGCCGACAGCACGTGGCTGAGGGTGCTGAGAACGTCTGCAATCTGAGCTCCGTGCTCCCAACAACAGCTTCTTGCTGTCTGACAGCACGCGGTCGGCGAGAGCAGCCTACATAGTTGGAGTTGCTGCTTGTGTCAAAGCCGCTTCGCTCGAGCAGTGGCTGGGACAGTGTCTGTTTGTGGGGGTTCCTGTCACACTCGCCAAACCTTACCGCAAGGCCCGCCAGACTAGACCATCCCCAGACCTGCGGATTGACGCATCTTGCAGTGAGCATGCCGATAAAGCGACCTGTGGCAGCAGCATGAAAAGTCTTCCCTGGTGGCCTGCTGGATTTGCATCATCCTTGGGCGGCTGGCGGCTAGGGGCGACAAGGAGGGAATCTCCTCTTGCACATTGTCAGGCCTATGCACTCCTGCAAACCATCACAGCCCAAGACCGAAGCCATGAGCGATGAGCGAGCTGTGCGCTCGTGCGTTCACTCGGACTCCGAGTCGGGGCCCGCACCGGCCCTGACGCACGTAGTTCCCGATCCCCCGCTGCGTGTCCACAACCTCGGATCGGAGCACACGCGGATGCCTCGCGCTGCTACGGAGCTATGTTGAACCTCAGATCCACGATCACGTTTTTCTTGGGCTACTGCCAGCTGGTCGTTCATGACAATGCTGGCCCTGTTCTTCGCCTGCCACTGCGCGGGGCACCGGGAAAGGCTGTTTGGATGCACCGACGCCTCGCCTTGGAAAGGCTGAAACCGACGAGGACCCAGGTGTCGTAGGGCACAAGAGCGGTGCCCGAATAGATCTCGTTGCATCCGCTTGCCTCTGAAGTTTCGATGAAAAGTAAGAGATTGTCTCACACGCGCCTGAGCTATATTGAATAAGATGCACCGCCGTTCGCAGCCACGAAGATAAGCGCGAGGCGTGGTCCGTCCATGACAGCCGGAGTTGTCGATTGGACGTTGCCCATTCGTGCCTGGAACCCGTGGGGCGTGTAGCAGACAGCTTCAGAAGCCCCTCCATCCGAGCGCTGGAAGGCATTTGCGGACTGGTTGCACCCCAAAGTTAGCCGGCTCACCGAGGCGGCCAACCCCCCATTAGATACAGCCATATGCAGTGATGACCTGCAACTTGACTCATTGAGTCTTGATAGCCGGGACGGGTGTTTCGAACGGGGCGTTCATCCCAAATGTCTGACGCTTCCCCACATTCTCAAACTCGTGCCGGGCGCACATGAAGAAAGCCCACCCCCGGCTGCTGGTAGCACCTGTCGACAGTCTTGGCCAGCCCTGCAGAAAATGAAAACACAAAGCGCAGAGCCCCCGATAGAGTCCTAGTCCTGCGGCAGCTCGCTCCGGCATATTCCCTGAAACATCCTCGAACAATCTTGGCTGCAGCACATCCGCTGAACTTGTTGGCCGCTATCGTCTTCATGGACCTTGCTGCACTGCACACGAAGTTGTCACTTCAGAGCCGCCAGATAGGCTCACAAAGCAGTGCACCGGAACAAAACTGCTAACAGAACCCGAAGGCAAGGCAGCAACCGCTCCACATGTTGACATTTTGACGGGTCTAGCTGTGGCCGTTAGATCAGGAGTCAACCAAAAAAACAAGTCCAGCTTCTACAGCCACTTCGTGAAACTTACATGCAGCTCCGTTGCTCGGAGGATGTTGGAAAGAAGCTTTCCGGCATACTGGGCACATAGATCCAAGTACCTGCGGTCTCGAACTATGGGCAAAACTGAACACAAAGGCGAGACATGGGGCGAGCTAGTGACAGGGACGAGCTGCTGCTTGGTTTGGACAGTGCAAGCCTTGCAGTTCGTTGTCCAGAGACAAGATACCGACTAGCTTGGGCAGGATTCCAGCTCAAACTAGCTCGGGACCCACGGTAAAGTGCCAGAGGATTTCGTTCAGGCAGTTTCGATGCTTGAACGTTGTGATGATGAGGATCATGAGTGAATATTATCTTTGCGGCTAGTCCCAGGACTTCAGCTCATCAAAGCATGTGACAGCCTCGGCAGGCACACGAAGCACATCTTTTGAGCGACAAGGCTTCCAGGGATGCAGCTGAGGGTCCTGCTCCGCGTTGCGGAGCACCCAAAACCTACTGAATCGTGTTCTGCTTGCCTGCAAAAAAAGTAAACAAGTATAATATACTGATAAGCTGCTGATAAGTTTAGACAGACAAGATAGGGTAGGTATCGGTATATGTTCGACGTGGGTGGATACTGGACAGACTCCAGAACTACGCGCGGATATTGCACAGGCCGCTCAGAAGCCAATTGGCATGTCAAAGCCGTGCCGGTGCCTTACAAGGGCCATGTTTCTGGCTGCAGCGCTCACAATTTGGAACGCGGACACTACACCTGTGACCTGCGGCTTCGCCCAACTTGTTTGGGGCTTGCGGATACCGAGACTAAATAAATCCGGACACGAGAGCAACGCTTCCTCCCGTGGGGGATGCTTGAGCCATGACGATGGAGACTGTGCTCAAGACGGCCTTGAAGCCTTCAAGCATCTTCACGTTGGGCTCGAAGCACAAGCAACGTTCAGGGGGAACCCAAAGTCGACGACTGTCCGCACAAAGCTCAGTGCGAAACATCCGAACACATCCGCAGAAGCAGCTTTGCCAAGCAGCGGGGGTTTCGGGGCTTCACACGAAGGGAGCCCAAACCCTTCAAACCTTGCAGAACCATGACTTCGTGGATATCGGTAAGCCCCAACTGCCAACGCACAGTTCCTGTGCATTCGGCCCAAAAGCTGCGGTACTGAGATGCCGACTGTTTAAGAGATTGTGCTGCGACGAAATTACGCCTCGGCCACAATCTGAAACGCGTGCGGGGGCAATGATGCAAGCTTCCAGTGGCTCGAGGAGGGGACCAGCCCCGATCACAATCGCAATCCGCCATCCCAGTCAGACTACATGCTCACGTTTGGCACTAGACTTGCAGACGTAAGGCTCTTCGTGCATCTTCGTGCACACAAGGCATGATTGGTCTTTACTTCCTCCGCAACTCACAAACTCTTGCCGTTCTACCGAGGGGGACTTCATGTAACTGCAGCTGGCGATAAACCATCCAAACGGGACAACAGCTTATCCGCTGACATAGTCAAGGCACCATCTTGGGATCTTGTCCTGTCGATTGGGGGAAATTTCGAGATGCTCAAGGAGGGCTTACCTCCGACCGGCCACTGCCATGAACCAGTGAATCAGCACCCACACCCGACAGCAAATTCACGACAACGTCAAAGCCCTCCAAACCTCCTGCGAGAGAGCTCTGCGTCGGCTCAGCCTCCCGAGGGCCAGCAAAACAAGAGGAACGCGAAACTAGAGCGATCATCCTGCGCCAAACGAAGTCTTGATTAAAGCGACATTGCGGGCATTACGCTAACTTCACTGCGGCCTCTACAAGGGTCCCCTGGTGCCTGCTTCGGCTTGGGCGCCACGTGGTACTCAAAGGACCGCTGCGTCAGAACCTTCACTGCAGTGGACAAACAGAGACAGAGTGCCAGTCGGAAATATGTGGAACGGAAGAAAAAAGGACAAAAAGAAATTGAATGCTATCACCACTGCTTCCAACACAAGCACTCGGACTTGCCAGATTCTGCAACCCGGGAGCTGGTCACATTGGCTTCAACAACTTGGAAGCTGCAGGTCTCTCGACGAGATCCAAAAGCCGAAAATTCAGGGGGGCTCACCCGATTCACCACTGCGGGGTGCAAGCGTTTACGAAGCTAAACTCCTGCGCTGAGACGTGAGGTTGGGAGTCCAGAGAATCTAGCCTTGGGGCAGGCTTGCGTATGCTTGATTGTATGAAGAGCGTCATGGCACCTCCAACACGAAGTCGCAATCCAAAGCCACAATCGAATGTACAAGCCCGTTATTCTGCCACGGCCGCCATGAGGGCCGCTCTCCAGATGGCATAGCCCAGCATCACAAAGTAGACCGGTGAGCCAATAGCCAGACCTCTAGCAGACTGAGAACATGCGACTAATCCTAGTCACACAAAGACGAATACAACTACGGGTCGTAGCAGCGACAGTAGTGGTTGTGGCCATGGTGTAGCTTTGACTCTTCAACAAAGGAGCTATTTCTGGTTCTGCTGAATCAATGCACTCCGATGGCTTGTGCCCTACCACCAGTTCCCACTCCTTTCTTCTCTCAGCCCCTTGAACTGCTCTTCATTTACAGAGTCCCGAATTCGCGCTCTACTTCCCGCATCGCTTCGAACTACCCGATGGGCTGAAAAAGCGGGAACGAAGTCCTCATGATGCTGGTATCTTTGGGTCGCTGAGCATTGCCCAAGTTTGGGTCCAGAGCCAAGCATCTGGTTCTGTTGAACTGCAGCCGGGAAACCGATCAGATTCCTAGGCACGAGGTTAGCATTCGATGAAACTCACATGGCACACATATCTGAAAGCAGCATGTGCGGCTTACTACTGCTTTAGGACCAAACAGAAACACTACTTCCAACTCTGGCCACGGCGTCTTCAGCCAGTGCAAGAAGATATGATAATGAGCATCACCCTCAACACGCTTCTTGAGCAAGACCTCGTATGTCACGAAGAAGACGATGGACACCAAGATGGTGAAAAAGATCGTCACTATCCTGCAGCCACAGCACATCATAAAATCCTGCGCAAGCACTGGCCATGGATCAGTTGTGAGCCATGCAACCCAAAACCCAACAGATGTCTTTAGCACGCTCACATTTTGCGAACAACTCATCCCCTTGGACGAGCACCTGAACAAACATCTAAGCTCTTGGCCGCTCATTTATCAAGGCAGCGTCACCACAGGTAGCTTCTCCCTCCAACGCACAATGCCGCCAAGATGCATCAAATATTTCGGGAAAACACCAACCTGCAAGAACAGGAAGTCCGGCAGTCGGTCACCCCTGGCCAGGATCCGTAAGATGAGTGAGCGGTGGTTCGTCGTTGAGGTGCCCCAGATGCGTCTGCGAAGCCGATACCGGATCATACAGCAGGCTCCTTTCAAAACGTGCACAGCGCATGCTCTGGCCTGAAGCAGAGCTTGATTATCAGCTTTAGCCTTGGCCCGGAGCAGGGCGAGTACTTCCCAGGGTCGGTCTCAAGTTTGAAAGAATTCTGGCAGGCTCACACCTTCGGATAGAAAGGCTTTGCACAAGGCTGTACACCAAGGCATCGCTGTCCCTCATGCGCGTGCTCAGGCAGGAATGGGTTCAGTGGTTGCTCAGCGAAGCTGCTAATGATTTACTTGCTTGCATCCGGGACACATCGCCTCCATAGCTCCGTACGTGGACAGAACCTGGTTTGCAGTTCAGCCTGTTTCGTCATGACTGTCCCAGATCACCACACCTCAAGTCTAGAAACTCTCCACATCGCACCCCATATACAAGACACGGGGCTCCGATGAGTACATGCACATTCACGAGCCGGATAAGGAGCGTGGTGCCATAGCTCAGCATGCGCCAAAAGCCCTGCACACCGGTACCATCGTGACCCAATTTGTGAACGACGTGTTTCTCACACTTCCCTAAGAAGTACTCTCGGGACACTGCACCGGTCACAACGATGGCCTGGAGGCCCTCTGTGTTCCGGCTCACACTGGAGGATGAGTAGCTGAACCTTTCATGTTGCAACTTGCAAGATGCTGACAGCGTCACCATGGTCGAGGATGGCACAGCACCACGCACAAGCACCGTTGCATCGGATTCCTTTCGCAACCCTATACACTGCACGGAAACTCCTTAGATAGGGCCGGGAAGCACCAGTGGCAGCATCATGAAATAGTAGGAGAAGTCCTGGGCAGTCCAAGGCTGCCGTTTGCGTTGACCGTGAGTTCTGCAAATACTGCTAGTCACGAGAGGTGCGGATCCACATCCGAAGAGCGAAGAGGTCTACCCCGTATGCACAAACATTCATCCAATCACAATCACCCGTCAAGGAACCTACAGACACGCAGATGTCAGCAGCCGGGACTCGGAGAAGCCCAAGGCATGCCTCTTCAGCTGAACCCACCGGGCCATGCAGGTACCTCAATACAAGGACTCCCGTTCTTTGTTGCTGTTTTATGGCCAGTAGCTACTCAAGTGGGGCATTAATGCTTTCCTACTTTTGTGATCTTCTGACTTTCCTTCCTGCATGCCAGCGGGCTCACAGCATTGCGAAAGAGGTGACTGTGTGACTACTGCAGCTCACAGAGACCACATCTCCGGATTCGAGACACTCCCATGGTTCCCATGCGAGGCACCCCACCAGTCACCCTCCTCCTCAGGCACGTAGTTCATCATGGGCGTCATGACTGGCTCCACCGTGGTCTTTCCTCGGCCGCCGAAAATCGGAGAAGGACCGAAGCCGCTCGGCTCCAGAGCCCAGTGCAGCCAAGTGGCCCAGGGTCATCAGGAAGCACTTGATCCCCATGTGGTAATCCTCTGCGATCCACTGCACATCCCAGCCACCGACCTGCCTGAATCAGTTCATGAGCGTGGGATGAAAGAGTCAACCTAGATTGCTTAGATCCGAAAGGTCATCGCACTTGCCATCAACATCACCCTGTGGTTGGCAAGTCAGCATTCGCATGTTCATGACTGGCTGTGGTCGTGAGGAGGGTAATCTCTCATCCTTATCTGCTCGATGCCCCTTTCGATTCTCACGACTGTCAGCAGCATCGGGTAGACCGATACCGCCGCTGTCAGGCTAGCAGTTTCCATCGTTTGAAACCGCGTCGC